AAATCTTTTAACAATTTATAACATCAATATAGAACATGAAATTTAATAATAATGGCGGAAGTTTGAATCATAATCTAAATCAAAACGCGGAACAGTCAACAATAGCCTCTACCCAAGACTGGTGTCATATTACTCACGAACTGCTAAGAGTTTACTAAATACAAAGGTCTGAAAGAAACATATAAACTATTTGTCTAGAAAACAAGGAGGCAACAGCATAGAAAAGAAAATAAGGGAGAGACGCCGGGCCTGCGAACGCCTGCAAGGCTACCTCGGTCTCGTGATAATGAAAGCCTGCTCCCGTGCTAATGCTGCTGCTGCTCCTCAAAACCTGGACCTATGCAAAAATGCACAGAGTGTAGCATCAGCACAACCGACCCCATGTGCTGGTAAGTGTCTAGCCTAACCCCGGCGAAGTAGTGACGAGGCTAGACTGGACACCACATAAACCTGTGCAATTATAAATATACAACGGAATCGAAATACCAAACAATTAACAATATGGGAGGGGAAACATGCTATGGGGAGATGGCAATATTAACAGTAATCCAGAGTAACAATCTAAAGCAGTCTAAATTTACGATGAACAAGGAACCAATACTCAATATGAACACATTTGTACCAATAACTGTTGCGGCATGCAACCCGGTCCACAATTACCATTGTTGCGGCGTGCAACCCGATCCACAAATACCACTGTTGCGGCGTGCAACCCGACCCATATCATTTATCATTTATCATTGTTGCGGCGCACAACCCGATCCTCATATCTCATTTAACATTGTTGCGGCGCGCAACCCGAGCCTCAAATATCATTTATCATTGTTGCGGCGTGCAACCCGATCCATATCATTCGACAGTCTAGCTCCCCAAACAATAGTCACAAATAAGGGGCATAAAATTAAACAAATATTGGAAGGAATCCCGGCAAGGGAAAAGAAACCAACAAGTTCAATACAACGTCCCGACAAGGGAAATACCAACAACGCTTTCTCTTTCTTTCATTTCTTACGTTATAATCCACTTTACCATTTTGAGCCAACGCTCCAAAGAATCAAGTCATTTTATATACTTTCAATATTCGTATCACAATTCGAGCCAATGCTCCTAGGAATCAAATGATCATATCATCGTTCACATGTTATTCACAACATATAGAAATCCTCCAATAAACACGGAAATCACAACCAAATCATGATAATCACATTACGAGGACTCACGGTCATACTAGACACCAATGTATAGATACTCTCACCATGCCTATACATCGTACTCGATCATTTAGCAATTAGCAAACAAGACTCAACTCCTATTCCCTCAAGCTAGGGTTAAACCATACACTTACCTCAAAGCCTTGAAATCCACTTAATCCTCAACTATCGCTTTACCCCGCGATTCCACCTCCAATTCGCTCGAATCTAATCAGAAATTGCTCAATTACTTTAATAAACTCTATATGAATAAATTTGAATGCATAAAAAATGAATTTCCCAAGTTTTTCCAAAAAATTCCAAAATCGCCCCCGAGCCCACGTGGTCAAAACTCGAGGTTCGAACAAAAACCCGGTTACCCATTCCCCCACGAACTAAAATATGTAATTTGTTTTGAAATCGGACCTCAAATCGAGGTCCAAATCCCCAATTTTAGAAAACCTAGGTTCTACCCAAAACCCCAATTTCACCCATGAAAATCCTTGATTTTAAGTGGAAAACATGTTAAATGATGCTAAAGATTGAAAGAATTGAGTAAAAATCGACTTACAATTGATTTAGGATGAAGATTGTTCTTGAAAAATCGCCTATGGTGTTTGGGTTTTGAAAGAATGGTGAAAAGTGATGAAAATTCGGCTAAGTATAAAATTTGCTGGGCCTTGCGAACCCCGGCCTGCTAACGTGGGAATTGCGAACCTTAGTTCGCATTTGCGAACTCCCTCCAACTATACAGGGTTCGCATTTGCGACCATGCAAGTCGCATTTGCGACTGCCCAGTTTTGGGAATTGCGAGCACAGCTTCGCATTTGCGAAGCCAGGCCATGAGGGGGACTTTCGCATTTGCGAAAAGGGCCACGCATTTGCGATCCCTAGCCCTTCGCATTTGCGAAGATATCCTTCGCATTTGCGATCCCATACCGCACCTCCCTTTCCTCGCATTTGCGATCAGGGAGTCGCATTTGCGAACTCGCATTTGCGAGTATTTCTTCGCAAATGCGAAAACACCAGGACTGAGAAATACCAGATTTTCATAAAATGAGAAATGCAATCCGACACCTATCCAAAACTCACCCGAGCCCTCGGGGCTCCAAACCAATCATGCACACAACCTCAAAAACATCCTACGGACTTATCCGTGCGATCAAATCGCCAAAATAACATCATATGCATCGAATCAAGCCTCAAGACTTATGCTTTTCTTTGAAATTTTCATAAAGCATCAAATTTCCATTTCAAGTCCGAAACGCGTCAAACGACATCGGTTTTCGACCAAATTTTACTGAGAGCGCTTAAACCATATATAAGACTTGTACCGGGCGTCGGAACCAAAATACGAGCCCGATACCACAGTCTTTTAATCAATTTTCATTTCCAATTTCCTTAATAATCTCAGAAAAACAATTTCACAGAAAAATTCATTTCTCGGGCTCTAGACCTCGGAATTCGACTCCGGGCATATGCCCGAGTCCCATATTTTTCTACGGACCCTCCGGGACCGTCAAATCACGGGTCCGGGTCCGTATACCAAAAATATTGACCGAAGCCAAATATATTCATATTAATATCGAAATTTAGCATTTTTCACACATAACTCATATTTAAGCTTTCCGGCTACGTGCCCAGACTGCGCACGCAAATCGAGGCAACCCTAAGTGAGGTTTTCGAGGCCTCGGAAGCACGGAATGAATAAGAAAACAGGTGATGACCCTTTGGGTCGTCATAGAGTATCCGAATCCAAATGGCCCAAATCTATTCAAAGTAATTGCATAATGTAAATAACACTTCAAGGAACTAATTCAACTAATTAATTCTAAGCTAATACGCGAAATTAGAAAAAATGACCAAAATGCCCCCCCCCCCTCCCCTCCCCTCCCGGGCCCACGTCTTGGAATCGGGTAAAATTTACAAATTCGAGATCCTCGCACTCTCACGAGTTCAGTCATACCAAAAGTACCCAAATCAGACCTCAAATGATCTCTCAAATCACCACTCAAAGCTCTCCTATTAACCAAGCCCTAACCCCCAATTTACTGTTGATTTTCCTTCAAATTTCATGCTTACAATGATAAAAATCACCATAATAACGAGCTTAAGGACCAAAGACCTTACCTCAATGAATCCCTCTAAAAATCTCCCTTGAAAATGCCCTCCAAAGCTTCACCCCGAATGAAAAATTAAGAGAAATGGTCAAAAATCGCGAAGGGTGGAATTTATAGTTTCTGCCCCAGCAAAACCGCACCTGCAGTTAAATAGTCGCACCTGCGGTCCGAGGTGTGCACCTGCGAACTTCATTTAAAACACCAGGGCCGCACCTGCGCAATCGCAGGTGCGAACAGGACCTCGCTTCTGCGATCCCAGCCTGCCCCTCTCTTGGCCGCATCTGCGGCTTCCTATCCGCTCCTGCGTGCCCGCACCTGCGGTCCCCTAGCCGCAGGTGCGGTTATGACAGCAACAGAACTCCTTCAGCTGCCAAACTCAGCTCAAAATCACCCGTTAACCACCCGAAATCACCCCGAGGCCCCCGGGACCTCAACCAAAGGCACGAGCAAGTGATATACCACCTTCCAAACTTGTACCAATCCTCAAAACGCCTAAAACAACATCGAATTAACCATGGATTCAAGCCTAAAAACTCTAAAGACTTCGTAATTCCGCTTTTCATCAAAAAGTCTATCAAACCTCGTCCTAATGACCTGAAAATTTGCACACAAATCCCAAATGACACAACGGACCTACTGCGACTTTCGGAACTCCATTCTGACCCCGATATCAAAATCTCACTACCGAACCGGAAACTTCAAAAATTCAACTTTCGGCATTTCAAGCCTAATTAAGCTACGGGCCTACAAAACACAATCCGAACACGCCCCTAAGCCTGAATTCACCCAAGAGAGCTAACAAAACCGACGGAATTCCATTTCGAGGCCGTCTTCACACTGCTCCGACTACGGTCCAAATTCTAATGCTTAAACTCTCATTTAGGGACTAAGTGTCCCAAAATACTCCAAACTCAAAACGAAACCTCCCGGCAACTCAAAATAGAAGAAATAAACACGGGGGAAGCAGTCAATAGGGGATCGGGGCGTTAATTCTTAAAACGACCGGCCGGGTCGTTAGAGGGGCAATTATGCAAACTTTGTTAACGGTAGGAAAATATTCGGACGAAAAGTATAACGGGTGGAAGAAGTAAACAATATACCATAGTAGAGGGGCAATTTTTGACCTTTTCCCAAAGAAAAATAAAGACGACAAAGTATTTTGGCCATAAAAAATTCTACCTTTTTTTTTTAATTTTTCTTATTTTTTCAGAACCAGTGTTTCAACAAAAAGAATTGTTTTATTCAAAAATTTCACAATTTTTATGTCCAAACGTCCACTTAGACTTTGCATCATTTGCTTGATTTTCTAGACATTCGCAAAACCACGTAAGCTCATGGTTGATTGGTGGAATATATTTCGTCGAAAAATATACTGTATTTTCATATAGGTTAAATGTTATTTTTTATACATATATATTAGATCTTAAATATTTTTAGCGAAATTTTTGGTTTCCCTCACAGCATATGTTTGCCATCAAAATTGTAATTCTTGGTTAGTTCTTATTTCTTAGCTTACATTTACCAAGTTTTTTTATTTTTTTGGTAATTATTAATTTTTATTACCAGGAAAATATTTACATAGTGTTCCGAAACCTCTAAAGTTGGACACCAGCCCTAACTTTAGTATACTTAATCTTCTTCCATGCATACAAATAGAAAATAATAAACTATGCTTTATCTACTAAACAATCTAACTAGGATAGTAATCAAGTTGTTTCAATAATGGTGCCAATTTCTTCCTCATTCTCCCTTTGCAGTGTATATCTTGAATGATCTGCCTCACTATAGCTGTTGCTGGTCTTGTTTTTTGTTGAAAGATTTTGTTGTTCCTATCCAACCAAGTATAGTACACACTTCCTGCTAGAGACATGCGATATATTTCTGCTCTGGCACTGTTGCCAGAAGCGTGTTTTTGAGCCCATTCAATTTCTTCCTTCCACCTCATAGCTTGACGCTGGATTCCCTGCCATTTGTATATTTGTTGCCATATCTGAGATGTGATCGGACATTTAAAAAGCAAGTGCTGAATGTCTTCTTCCTCATTATCACATAGTGCACATATTGTGTCATACCCCATATCCCACTTCTTGAATCTCATCTTTGTGTAAAGTCTGTCTTGTATTGCAAGGTATAATATGAATAACCATTTGGGGCTACCCTGGTTAGTACAAATCAATTTCCTCCATTGCACTTTAGAATATTTGTCCCTCATCTTGTTATATATTATCTTGATAGCATATGTATCACCTTTTAGGAATTCCTCTATAGATACCCCTGCTTCCTCCAAGTACTGCTTAGTCTTTAGGATTTTCTGAATTAGCCAAGATGCTTGCGGACCATTGCTTTCCCACACTTAATTACCCTTTATATAGTAGATATGCACCCATTGAATCCACAACCTATCTTTCTTCTTGCATAAATTCCAATAATTCTTGAGAATGGAAGCTTTAATCCATGTGTATATATCTACTATGTTGAGGCCACCTGCTGATTTTGGCACACAGATTTTATCCCATGCGACTAGAGCCTTCTTTGAGCATTCATTATTCCCATTCCACAAAAACCTTTTGCATATTTGTTCAATCCTCTGAATCACCTTCTTTGGTAGTATGAAAATTTGAGACCAGAATTTTTCGATAGCTATAAGCACACTTCTAATCAGCTGCAATCTCCCTACATAAGACAGCATCTTTGATGTCCATGAGGTTACTCTCCTCACCATCCTTTCCAATATTGGATGGCATTGTCCAATAGTTAGTCTTTTTGAACCCAATGGAACTCCCAAGTATCTGAAGGGTAGAGTTCCTACAGAGAAGCCTAACCTTATAATTTGTTGTTGAATCTGTTCTGGTACCCCTCCAAAATACACAGCACTCTTCCCTTGATTTGCAATTAGCCCAGAAGCCATAGAGAATTGCTGGAATTGTTTGTATAAAAGCTGAGTAGATACCACATCCCCTCTACAGAACAACAACAAATCATCTGCAAACCCCATTTGTATTATGTTCAATTTATCACATCGAGGATTGTAGTTAAAGTCTGGATTTTCTGCCATTGTTCTCAGTGATCTGCTAAGATATTCCATGGCAATCACAAACACGAATGGTGAAAAAGGATCACCCTGCCTTACTCCTCTCTTAGCAATAAAGGGAACACTTGGTTTACCATTTATGACTACAGAATATGAGACTGTTGACACACACTATGATCCATCTCACAACTGTTTCTGGGAAATTAAGTGCATTTAGAACTTGTCCTAGGAACACCCATTCAATAGAGTCATAGGCTTTTTGCATGTCGATTTTGATCATGCATCTTGGCGACACCCCTTTTCTCCTATATCCTTTCACTAGTTCATGACTAAGGATAATATTATCTGTGATAAGTCTGCCAGGTACAAATGCATCTTGACTCTTATCAATGATGTTATCCATGACTCCATGTACTCTACTAGTAAGCACTTTGGAGATGATCTTATATAGTGTGGAGCAACAGGAGATAGGTCTATATTGCTTCACTGATGTGGGGTTCTTAACCTTAGGCACCAAGGTTATAGATGTGCAATTTATCGGTTGATAGAGCTTCTTAGTATCAAAACAATTCAAAACAGCTTCAGTTACCTCATCTCAAATCATGGCCCATGCTTTCTTAAAAAAATGTGAATTGAACCCATCTATCCCTGGGGCTTTGTTGTCATCTATCCCCTAAAGTGCTTGCCAAACTTCTTCTCTATTAAATGGTCGGATGAGCTGCATTTGTTGCCCTCTTGACAGCATAGGTCCCCTCCTCATATCATCTAAATTTACAACAGGTAGTGTAGGACTTGCAGCCCCAAGTAAGCCCTGATAAAAGTTTAGTATCTCCTCTTCTATCCCCTTTTCTGTTTGGACAATATCCCCTACTGCATTAGTAAGTGCTTTGATCTGATTCTGGGCTCTCCTATTCTTGATGCTGGCAAAAAAATAAGCTGAGTTAGAGTCTCCTAGTTTAAGCCATTGGACTCTAGACTTCTGTTTATAGATTCTCTCCTCTATTAAATCCCATTTCTCTAGCTGTAATCTTAGCTCTTTTTCCACTTCAAAATTATGGGGATCCTAATTATAAGTTCTCATCTGTTGTTGAAACAATTGAAGATCATTCCTGATGCCATTAATTTTGTCAGCAATCCCATAAAACTCCTTTGCATTCAGGCCTTTCATTGCTTGTTTCATGTGCTTCAGCTTGAGCCATACTTTTTTCATGTATACTGCATTTGTACTTATCTGCCAGTTATCTGCTACTATCTTCCTAAAGTTAGGATCATCAGCCAGACAATTCATAAATCTGAATGGCCTAGTTGTTGTCTTCTGTTGTCTTCCCAATTCAACACTTAGAGGTGAATGATCATAAAAATATAAGTCTAGAACATGAACTTGAATAGGAGGCGTATTGTTCATCCATTCTCCATTTACTAATGCCCTGTCAATTTCGCTAAAAACAATGGTCTTCCTATTGCCTTTAGCTCAGTCATACCAGCACCTTCTACAAACTCTCTAAAGTCTCTTGTTTCATGATCTTGTACCACATTGCCATGCATTATGTCCTCTACCTCAAGTATGGCATTGAAGTCTCCCATTACAAGCCATGGTACTTGTTGCCTGCTTTCTATTTCCCTTAGCTTTCTCCATACTATCCTGCACTGTATGAAGGCCATAAACAGCCGTAAAATGAAATTTTATTTCATTGGCAGCACAGTTGATTTCAGCTTGTATGTATTGATTACGCACACTGATTTTCTTAACCACAGCAAATTTTGGATCCCATAACAGCCATATCCTCCCTTAATTATTCAAGGAAGTGTTTGAGATCCATTCTCATGTAGGTACTATTTTGTTTATCACTTGCCCCTCTTTACATTCCTTTACTCTATGTTCTATGATGGCTATAATATTAACTTTATTCTCCTTAATAAACTCCCTTAGCTCCTTTTGCTTATACAACTTATTCATTCCCCTCACATTCCAAGTAATAACTTTCATCTTAGTAATGGAGGGAAATGGTCTTGATTATCTGCACCCCCTTGGCTACTCTGTCCCCTTTCATATTGCTTATCTTGCTTCATTACCATGACTTGGAGTGGTGGATCATTTGCCCATCCTGCTAATGAGCTAAATCCATTATTTGTATCTACCTCTCTTTCTTTGTTACCCCCACTCTTGGTCATTTTAGTGGTTGATTTTGTTCTCACCATTGTCCATCCTTCTGTTTGTGCTTCTGTTGCAGTAACCTGCCCTTTGTTATCAGCATCCTTTCCACCAATTGTCTGCCCATTTGTATTTTGTATTTGCTCATTCTGTTTTTCACTTATCTTCACTGATCACTTCTCCTCCAAATTTGCATAGGCTTTGGTTGTTTTCCTCTTTGGCCTTGTACTGGTTGCTTCTGCATATTTGTATTCTTGCAATTGTGACCTATTTTGCAAACACGATGCACAATACTCAGGCTCCCAATCATATTGCACTTCCTGTTCAAACACCCCCCCCCCCAGGGTCCTGGACAGCAATGCCCTTAGAAAGTGGTCTAGTAATATCTATTTCAATAAGGACCCTTGCATATGATATGCGTGCAATATTGGTGGTGCACTCATCAGCGTATACAGGAGTACCTAAACCACTACTGATTTTACTTAGTGACTTCCCTCCCCAGCAACTTAGAGGAAGTTTTGGAAACTTCACCCAAATTGGAATAGTTTTAAGCACTTCATTTTGAAAATTAAACTCTGCCGACCATCCCTTCATTATCACAGGTTTATTATTAATTGTGTTTGGGCCTGAGAACAACACCTCATCTTTGTCTTCTATGCTTTTGAATCGAATGACAAAGTAATCATCATTGTGGTAGTATACTTGGGGCTTCTCTGCAAACTTCCACTGTGTTATGAGAAATCTCTCCACTGCTCCTATCGACGGTGAATCTCCGATAACATACAGAATTATAGCCATTCTCCATTTTGCACTCTCCTCTTCTATATCCTCCTGCTCCAATTTTACAATTGTCTTCCCTTCCTGGATGCTAGGTGGAATATATCTCAGATTCATGCCTTTTGATGCCAGCTTACTTCCTGTAACTACACTTGCCCAGGTCTGCATATTTCCAGTCTTCTTAGGTAAATTTCCATTCCTTATTACCTTGTGAGCGCCTTCATTCTCGTTGTTGTTGTTAGATCCCTTAGTGCCAGAAGTGCTACCCTGAATTTGAACAGCCTTAACCCCAGATGTATACCCTGCATGGCAGTTGGTACCTTCATCATTGTCAACCTTCCTGCGTGTGCTTGATTCATCCATACCAGCAACTGATTTCCCCTTCCCAGTAATAGGCGTGCTCTCCAATTCCTTTTTGTCCAGTTGATTATCTTTATCCGTCGTTGTTTGCTTTGCAGCAGATCCATGGAGATTTCCTCCAATTGGTGATTTTTCATTTCCAGATCCTACCTTCAGTTCCTCAAGCAGCTTGAAATCCATAATCAGTACCTTATTCACCTGCTTCCGTGGTCTTCCTCGCCCTCCCATTCCGGTGATCAGCGCACGTTAGTAAGTTTACCTAATCGAGCGCCGAGAGAAACGGTTATAGAGAGAGAAAGTTTCCATTTACCAAGTTTCTTTAGTACAAAAATAGTAACTATTTACTAGTATGTATTTTAGCTAAAATAGGTTGAAAAACTTCCAAATGTGAAACAAAAATAAAATAGAATTTCTTAAATGACTAAATAAATCTCAACAAAGTATCAGAAAAAAAATGGAGTAAACAGTCAACTCATAATAACTCAGTCAAATTAGTTAAAAAGATTTTGAGAATCTACAAAAATTAACAAAATACAAATATATATAATGCATTAGCCAAATATAGTCCTTTTTTTGACTCTCAACCCTATCCAATCAATACCCTAATAAATTTCTCAGCAATATATAGCCAAACTTTTCCAAGAAAAATAAAACTACTGCATATCAATAAATAAAAAAAAATCCAGCACCAATTTTTTTCACAGATGGCCATTTTGTTTCCTTCTACAATGGTTTGCTTTGTTCTTCTTCACATTTTTGTGTCAGGTGCGTATTTATTTTCTGATTAAATTATCTATTATATGTCGTCTCATAATATTTGACAATATTAAATTACTATTTAATGACATTATTTATACGGTTTTTACAACATTTAAGAATTCAAAGTCGTTCAGCTATATTTGGATTCAAACTTCAATGTATGTTAATATCAATGCAACAAACTTTTTTTACCAATTAGTAAATAATTTACATTTTAAAATATCATATGTTCATCCATTGGTGTTAAATAATTAGTACAGTTCATACCGGTGGAAAGTTTGGAAAATTAATTTTTCTCTTACCCAAATCTGATTTTATTGGAAAAATGACACTGTATAGTTGCTGTAATTTTTAAAATAGCCGAAAATATATAAATTTGTATATTGTTTTGTATATATATATATATATATATATATATATATACACACACACACATTATGTATGTTATACAAAAATTATATAAATTTTATATATTTTTTCGGCTGCTAAATGTAAATAGTTTATGGCGCGGGTTAAAAGTGATAATACCCCTCTATTTTCATAGGAATTGTTGATTTAATATCAATAAAAAGTAGGTTTTAAATAAACCAGGTGTCAGATTGGAAAAAATAATAGGTAGGCCTTCTGAGCCGTCATTAATTTATATGCTAAGGAAATGTTGATTTAGGAAATTTAGGGAATCGCTTGGTTCACTTATTAGTTATACAGGAATTATAATAATTGATTATTTATGCGGTGAGTAATAATCATATGATTGTTATATATAAATTACTTACTTTAAAAGGATATTTTTGTTTTTATGGACCCGTTTGTCCATAACTTTTTTTCCTTTTTTCGATATTTTTTCAAAAATGTGCTTGTCTATAAAATTTTGCAAGTTTTTTGAAATTTTTTGAAAATGAGTTTTTCAAAAATAATTTTTCAAATTTTTTTATTTTTTCCCCACTCATAAAACTACAACATTTTTCAAGTGAAA